CGTGCCGTCGCCGTCGGCGGCGCGGCGCCGGCGCTGCAAGCGCCGGGCCCAGGCGAGGCCGCGCAACGCCGGCTCTCCCAGGCAAAGATTGGGAGGGGGCGGGGCGGTCCTCGTCCTCCTCCTCCTCCTCCTCTTCCTCCTCCTCCTCCTGCTCCTCCTCCTCCTCCCCCTCCTCCTCCTCCTCCTCCTCCTCCTCCTCCTCCTCCTCCTCCCTCAAGCCATTTGGGCCACAGCACCAAGACCTTTCGCCCCCGCGCGAAGGGCATAGTGCACGTGTCCTTCTCCCATACCTGCCCGTTGGTGCTTGAGGCACACCACAGCAGCTCGCGTTGCGAACGCTTCTTGTGGTGACAAAAGTGGGAGAGAAATGACTTTGACGGCATAACAGAAGCAGGGCTGGTCCAAATGTTTCTCGCGCAAAAAGACCGATTGGAACGTTCGCCTGGAGGCAAACTGGTGGCATTGTTCAGGATGCAACAAAAAGGTGGGTATGCATCAGGCAAACGGCAGCGGCAAAGGCAAAGGAGAGCAGAGCCAGTCAACCCCTACCAGCGGAGCGAATGGAGATCATATGAGCGACAAGCATGCCATTCGACAGCTCATATCTTCAACAACCGACCCGAATCTGAAGCTCGCTTTACAGGTTCAGCTGCATGTGATAGAGGACGCCGAGACAGCTTAGGAGCTCGCGACGCCCACAGAGATATCGGCAGCAGCGGCGGTGCGCAAAGCAGTAGGGGCATGGAAAGATGCAGATTATCGACATGGTCAACGTGTGCAAAACGTGTTGAAGTTTCAGCGCGCATTAGAAACAGCTCAAGACAAGGAACGTGACACGGCAGAGACAATAGCAAAGGCAGCAATGGCAAAAACAATGGCGACTGAGATAATGGTACAGTTGGAAGGTGTTACCATGACGGCTGAGGAGAAGCAAAACAAATAATCGATACCAAAGATGCAGATCACTTGGGACGATGAGTTATTCGCAGATATTGAAAGTGGTGCGTACGAAGACGCAGAAAAAGTTGCAATGCAGCAGTTGTTGAACGATTTGAGAGCGGCAAAGACAGCGATTGAGGCCAAGAACCTGGAAGTGGAAAAGTGGTTGACTGATGCAGCAAAAACGAAGAAGGCGTTAGAGGAGCGAGTGGAGGAAAAACAAAAAAACGAATCCGGATGCAGCCAGCGGAGGTGAGCCGCCAGTGGCAGCTGAACCAGATTCAACGACATCAGCAGCGGCATCCACAGCGTCGCCCCAGGCAGCAGAGATCCATGAAGCTCAAGAACAACAAGTTCGTGCCACAGCTGAAAAGATCTCCACGGCAAAGTTCGAGGCCCTCAAAGCAGCTACTAAGAACAAAGGCAACTGAGCAAATGTCACGAGCGGCGTGGGCAAAGGCAAGGGTCCCCAGGCTGAATGACTAGGTTCAGCAAATAGGGCCTCAGCTTTGGGTGAAGATGAGGCAGTCAGTGGCAGTATGCGCACTGACGGGGTTAGTAAAGTGTTATGTGCGAGTGTTACAGCCATGGGGGAATAGTGTTGGAGATATCTGGAAGGTCAACTTCAAGGATAGGATCACGTGGGATGCGTTGAAACTCATGTTGCTGCGTCAGACATAAAGAATGGGATAGTCGTGCCAGGAAGAAGAATTTACGCTTGATTCCGAACAAAGCTCGACAGTACTCAAAGCATGTTTCGGCCGCCAGAGCGGCAAAGGCACATGAAGGGGGAGAGTGGTTTTTGTCCAAGGGCCACCTCAACGTCCAACCTCTATCGGGAAAGGAGCTCTGCAAATCTTTGCAGGCATCGGGGCAAGCTTGTTGGGGCGGATTTTGCGCATCACTCGTGCAGTGCCGAGGTATCGTCATGGCGTTGGTTGCTTTCGATGGGCATCCGTCAATTGGTATGTGCGGGGAAAACGTCAGCACATGTCACCATCTGGGGGCCCTTCTCACTTCGTTGAAAGTGCCGTGGGCGGTCGCAGGCGGCCTCAACGCCCCCCGGCGACGTTGGCGAAGACCGGTTTTCTCGAAGCAGTTGGAGGCAGCATCGCGCAGGCACCCGTTGAGGTCACATGCTCGACAGGAAAAAAAACGTTTCGCACATTGACTACGTCGCGTGCTCCGCCTCCGCCCGACCCCTCATAAGAAGCGTTGTTCCTGTGGTCAGTGCGCCCTGGAAGCCTCGCATAGGCCTGTCTATTGAGATTGCCTCGTCGGGAACTCCGCTCGACACCAGAGTGCTAAGGCTTCCTGGTAGGTTTCCCCAGGGGCCCCGCCCAACCAAAGAGGTCACGGCCTGGTCCAAATCATTTGTCGCTAGAACCCAGCGCCAATCATGGCAGGTCGCAGCACGGGAAAAACAAAAGCTGAGATCTATAATCACATGTTTCGCGACGCTCTAGATCCGCCGCCCCCGCCCGAAGGTGCTCGAAGCAGTGGATCTGGCGATTTTGGCGGCGATGACTTTTCCGAATTCGAGACGGAAGAGAGCCCGGAGGCGCGGCCAGAACCGGACTGGCCCGCCCAGGACACGATGCCACATAATCCAGAGCGCGCCTGCAGAACTCCCCCCCCCTCCCCCCCGTTTGAACAGCCAAGATAACGAGCCCCTGGGGGGGTGGCCCCACCTTCTGGATCACCGAGGCCACTTGGAGGGGGAACGCAGGCCCCGCGTCGGGCGCGCGCCAGCCAGCAGCCCCCCCCCAAAAAAAAAACGCACAACAAATCATTGACTTTCTATGGAACCGTTTTGGCTCGATCCATCTTGGCGCAGCCCCCGCGCAAGTGCCGCATGGGTCTCGGCGCTGGAGGAAACGATCTGCGCGCGCCACTCATGTCAGCTCACTTCTGGTCCGTCGAGAATGATAAGTGCCAGTTTTCCTGGTGGAAAAGCGCAGCGTGCAGAACATGGCGGGGCTCAACCGTTGGCAGATGAGACAGCAGACTGGCGGGCGCGAACATCGACAATTTGGGAAAATCCGAGCAGACACAGAGAGTGGCAGAATTGACAAAAGCAATTGGAATTACTTGTAAAAGGACGCAAAGAATTGGCAACTGACGCACCGCAGAAAGCAGCCAAATCGTCGATGAGGTTGGAGCCGACTTTCAGCAGCACCCAGAGAGCGTTGATAGTCATTGATGAGCAAAGTGGTTGCAATGCGACTAGGTCATCAGTACTTGTGCAGAAAGTTTCAACCAGAGCCCAAGGTTGTGCGATGGCAATATCCCTGAAAAAGTTCAGTACACGGGCTGAGTCGTTGCAGGCATTGGGAACACATCATAGGTAAGTCGGAGAAACACCTTGGTTGAAGCACGAGTATCAAGCTGAAAAAGGAGAAGTACACGCGCCGCCAAACGCAATCATTGGCGCCAAACTTCCCAGGTGGAAAAAGCTGTGGGCACCCAAGATACAAAACGTGGAGTAGCTGGATGCGGCTTTCGATCAGGCGAAGCAGGGGGCTTTGGCTGAGCCTCTCCTGCTCTCGACATCAGCACATATACGGCGGGCGGCGAGTGCAGCGATACCGAATATTGGGCAGGGCGCGGACAAACTTTCGCCAGCGGACGTGGAGCGCCAGTCGGACTCTGCCCTAGAAGAGTTGTGTGAATTGTATGGCTTATGTGAACATACACTCACATGGCCGCATCAAACACATATGGCCATGGGGCACATGACGCCAACGTATCGAGGGGACGGAGATCGGGTCAGAGTACTCATGGCAATGACACGCAGGATCTGGCCCCAGGCAAGGGGCCCCCTTGTGGCGGAGTGGTCTGCAGCCGCAGCCCCAGAGTGGGATGCGGCAATCGAGGGAAATGCAGCATTGAGGGAGGCTTTCGTCAAAGTTCTAGATGAAGAATTGGCAGTGCATTTGAAATCAGCAAGTGGGCATGGACTGGCAGACGTAGAAGGATTTCCCGAAACAATTTCGCGGGGGAACTTGATCGAGCGCACGCTCAGATTAGGATGCCCACTACGGGTGCTCTATCTAGAGTTTCTGCAGGGCACGGCACCTCGCACGTTAAGACAAGGGGGGATCTTTTTCGGATGCATGCAGCCCCGCACCTTCGATTGTGCAGGGGCTCAGATCAGTGGCTCGGTTTGCGCGAGCCCTCGTATATTTTGCGTTGGAAGCCATGACGTGTGCGCACCCAAATTTCCCACATCGCATGTGGATCGATGGCCCCGGTCAAAGTGCAAGGGGCTCGAGAAAAATGATGCGACGCGAATTAACAGAAGTGCTCATCGCAACATGTCAAGGATTGGAAAAGAAAAACCCACGATCGCAAGCAACAGCGCAGTGTTGTGCACGAAGATTGAGGCCGCACAATTTATAGCCGGGAAAGTCAGACAGGCTGGCTACCCCATGGTAGCCCAGTCGCAGGTAGCTTATCTCGGAGTTGATCTGTGAGGCGGCAAAAGCACCCCTCATGCACCAACAATTTAAAAAGTTTGCACGAGCTTCGCGGACATACAAGATAATGCAAAGGTTGGAACGACAGGGATCATACGCAGTAGGCGCGCACGGCCACCAGTTGCACGGAACGTCCGGGGAAATCTCCAAGTCTGCAGACAAAGATTGGGAGCCCCCTGTGCGGCACCCACGTCAGGGAGATGCTTAACGACGTCGCTGGCGCTCAAGTGTCCAGATGCTGACCCTGGAGTCAAGATGCCAGCAGAATGTTTGCAGTTATGGTTTCGGCTGCGGGCGCATGAGGGACGACACCTCCAGCCCGCAATACAGAAGGTTTGGGATGATCAAGTTCAAAGTTTCAGACAGATGGACGCAGGCAAAAGGGTGCGCCACATACGGGGCCCACTGACAGCAGCGATTGCACGCCTCCCCGAAGCAGGCTGGAACCCAACCTCAGCAGAAAGTTGGATAAGGCCGCCGACTTTCGAGGGAGAGGAAGTTGAGTGGACAATCCCAGCGGCCAACTTAGTGGGCGAGTTCAAAATTTATCGGGACAAGACGTATTGGAACAAGGCTCGCAAACAGTTTTGCGGAGGGAGTTTGGGGAACTGAGCAGACATGTAATCAGATGTCCAATGTGTTGAACAATTGCGCGTTGTTCCTGAAGGACGCAGATTATCTGAACTAATGGTAGCTATAGCGACGGGGGGGGCCTGGCCGAGATCAAGACGGGCCCAGTGGGCTCCGGGGAAAGCATGCCCAAAATGCCCAAGATGCGGACATCCCGAGGAAACGCCGCCCCATCGAACATGTGACTGCGGGAGAGAGAGAGAGAGAGAGAGAGAGAGAGAGAGAGAGGGAGAGAGAGAGAGAGAGAGATAGAGAGAGAGAGAGAGAGAGACAAAAAAAAACACGCAACAAACACGCTGGCAACAAAATCTACGACCTCACGGCGCCATGCATCGGCGAGGCGCACCCCCAGTGGGAGTCGGCGGATCGCTACTGGCTGCGAGGAATCACCTCAGCCCCGTGGACGCCACCCCACCCCCCCACCCCCCGCTCAGGAGGAGGCCTGGGGCGCTGGAGGCGTCATCCTGGAGCCAGAGGACGAGGCGCGACATCTAGGGGCCCAGCAAGCGCCCATAGTTTTCTCTGGAGACGCCAGTGGAGGCCCAGATTCCAAAAGTAAGAAGCTAAGAAGGGTAGGGATGGACTGGCGCAAGCTGTTGCCCCGACCAGGAACGATCCACAACTTATTCTTGTTGGAGCGGCGCATGGGCCTCTGGCAGGCCCGCGACAAACATTTGCTCGTTGCTCGAGGAGAACTAAGAGCCTTTCTAAAGGCAGTCCAGCTGACACATGGCCACCTGGTGTCTGTTGCGGATGGCTTCGGCGTCGCCTCAGGCTGGTACGACAGCAAATGGAAGACGCTAGACGGGCCAGATGCCGACCTTTGGGCCATGATCAATGATGAAATGCAGTCGGGCAGGGCTGCAGTCGACCAACAAATGTTCCCTGAATTGTTGATCGTCGGTAACGCTGCAGCAGATCAGATAGCAGAGACGGCGGCAGAAGATGCAATAATCCCAGCCAGTATTCGAGCACGCAACTGCAAGATTGGGAGCACATTTTTTTCATGCCACATCGGCTGCTACGCTCTACCCATGGATGCGCTCAATAAGGAAAGAGAAAACGAAGCCGATAGACGCCCGAGGAAAAAAGGTGAGCACCCAAGTGGTGCAATGAGAGTGATCCCTCCCGCTCCCCTGCTTGTGTCAGCTATGTGTAGCGAACACCAGCTCGATGACAGTGGGAAAACATGCGCTCGTTGTCTCGGCCGCAGCGTCCGACCTCAAAGCTTGGCGCTGCAGTCCGTGTTTTGAGCTAACTAATTTAGGGGGTATTTATCAATCTCTCCCAGAGGGGGCTCGTTTGCATATGGCTGGGGGGTGGGCTGATTCCTCGCACCAGCTGCAATACCATAGCGGTCTCGGCGTGTGGTTTTGTATAGCGTGCGGATACTTCGCCCACCAACGCTTGAATAACCTTGCCAAGCAATGCCGTGAACATATCCCAGCGTGGAGGAGAGAATACTACAATAATATCAAGGCCCATAAGTGGCCCAAGGTTTTATGCCAGACGGAAAAGGCCCGAAGAAGCCAGGCCCTGCGGTGAGGGCTGGTGGGGGGCCGTGGGAAGGGAGAGAGACCGGAGAGTGCGGCGGCGCGTGCGAGCGCGCGCGCCCCGCACACGACCCGTTCAACAACTCCCAGGACTGCGGCCCCCGCCGCCGCCGTCGTCGCCGTCATGCCGTCACCTTTGGATTCCCTACGGAACTGTTCCACTCCACTCCACTCCTCCTCCTCCTCCTCCTCCTCCTCCTCCTCCTCCTCCTCCTCCTCCTCCTCCTCCTCTTCCTCCGGAGCGGAGCGGAGAGGGTGGGCATCTGCCGGATGAGCAAAGGCGCTGCCAGCGACTGCAGGGGCATACTCCTTCGAGCGCGCCCGTGGGATACTGGGTGCAAACTTTGCGAGGATGGACCCCAGGGATGGTCCAGGGATTGATTTGAAGCGAACATTGGACAGGAGGAGGGAGATGAAGGACCGAGGAAAGAGAGGGATGAGGCTTGTCTAGGCTGGGGGCCGAACGAGCGCGGGAGGCACTCCGAGGTGGGGCCCAGCGGGAGGGCTGATTCTTTGCCCGAGCCCGTCGTTCTCCGGGGGGGAGGGAGGTAACGTGTGCACACCGCCCCACAACGCGGACCGCCGAAGCCCCAGCCACCAACTGGACAGACGGAGGAGGAAGAGGATGGAGAAGGGCGGGATGCTATACACTGTGCAGGCCTCCCGGCGAGGCCCCTTCTTTCAGAGAGGTTTCGGACTCCAGTGTGTTTTCCTTCAGCTGCGCCTCGTTGAGACCCTCCGGAGCCCCAGAATCGTCCCGAACTCCCCCCCTCTGGCCCGACGCACGACCAAAAGTGGCCCGATCTCCCGCGTCCTGAAGAAAAACATCTTCAGCGTTCTTCATGGATTCTGGTGCTGGGCATCAGGAGGCCCGCTTCATGCCCGAGGACAGTCATGTGCAAAATAAGGTGCAGACGCAACGGCTGAAGCAGAGACAGAGACTGAGCTCGATAACAGACAAACCAAGGGAAGGAGGGAGCTCGATAACAAACAAATGCTAAGAGAGAGCGAGAGGGAGAAGGAAAGTGAGGGGCAAGGCAGAGACAGAGGCAGTGACATATGGTCGGATGAATGGTGGGAGATCGACGATCGGGAGAGGAGAGTGCAAACTAAAGCCGCAGTATTTCTTGAATACATGTTGTGGGAGTAATTCTGTATACGTGTATAGGAAGTACGCTGGTATTTCCTCTTGGGCCGTCTTGGGCGCCTCGTGGGCCATCTGGAGGCCCTTTGGGGCCGTCTTGGGGCCCTCTGGGGGGCCTCTGGGGCCGTCTTGGAGCAGTCTTGATGGCCTGCTGGGACGTCTTGGAGCGTCGGAAGCTCGACAAGTGGGGAACCCCCAAAAACGTAAGCCTACGGAATGTCACTCATTCTGGCCTCTCGGGGTCACACTCGGAAGTCTCTTGGAGGACTCTTGGGACGCCCTGGGCGCTTTTTCGGCCGCCCGGAGGCCATCCTGGGCGTCTTGGACCACTCGTTCGGCGCCTCGGGGCTGTCTTGAGCCGTCTTTCAAGGGAGGAAAAACCACCCGGACCGGACAAATTGGCGTTTACTAAGCGGCCTTGGGCGTTTACTAAACAGCTCTGCCCTGTTCGATTCCTTCTTTGGGCGCGTTTACTAAAGGCCTCGCATGTCGGGGTGGTTATTATCGGGGTGGATTTTCTGCCCTCTAGTCTTGGAGGAATGCCGGGGCCCTCTCGGCCCGCCTTGGGACTCTCTGGGCCCGGCAGAGTCACGCGGGGAGCCGCGGCGGGCCCCCCGAGGGGGCACGCGCCGAGCCCAAGACGATTCGACGAGCCGGAATATTGGGCGTAGACAGCATTGTTCTTCAGGATTGAGGACTGAGGCGTAAGGGGTCAGGCCAAATATTCGAGGACATTTCAACTCGTGCCTCAGGGCACGGTGGCGGCGGATTATATGCACACGCACGCATATATATATATATATATACATAGATATGTGTATATATATATATATAGACATAGACATACGCGTGTACATATAACTGTATCATATATGCGCATCCCCCTAGCATCCATTCATTTTGCATCGGCTGTTGAGTTCTTCTCTGATCGCCTGCCTTCTTCTCATCCGTGCCTGCTCGTCAGTCTAGCCTATTCGTCATGTCTCCGCGCTTTTCTCGTGCTGGATTTTAAGTGGAACCAGCTGGAATTAGGATCTGCTCAATTCGAATTAGATTTCAGTTCGACTCGAAGTGGAATTCGTCTGGACACAGCTGGGATCTGCCCACTCGAATTCTAATTCGATTCCATTAGGAGTCACGTTGGAATCAGCTGGATCTGGGATCTGCTCAAATGCATTGGGATTTAACTGATGTGCCCATTGGAATCCAACTGGAATCAGTTGGGTCTGTGATCTGTCCAATTCGGATTAGATTTTAGTTCGACTCCAAGGAGAATCCAATTCGAAGCAGCTGCATCCAGGATTTGATCCATCCCAATTCGGTTCGAATTCGATACCAATGTGGCTGGCCTTGGAATCTATTGCTCAAATTGGAACCAGGTGGATCTAGGATCCTCTCACTTCCAATCGATTCTAATCCGATTTCAATCGGAGTCGACTTGGAATCAGCGGGAGCTGTGGTCTGATCAATTCCAATTCGATGCGAATTGCATTCCAATAGGGATCCCAAGTGGACTCCGCTGGATCTAGGATGTGCCCAATTCCATGTAAATTCTAATTCAAATCAAGTAGGACTCAAATTTGAACGAGCTGGATATCGAATCTGCTCTATGTCAATTAGACGTTCGTTATATTCCGATAATATTTGACTTTGATATGCTGTATCTGTGATTTGCGCCATCCCAACTAGCTTCGAACTAGATCCCAATAAGAATCTAATTGGAATCAGCTGGATCTGGGGTCTGCTCCATTCTCATGGCATTCTAACTAGAGTTCAATTGGGATCTAGTTGGGATCAGCTGAACCTGGGATGTGCACAATTTCTATCCGATTCGGGGTAGGTTTCCATACGAGTCCAATCTGAATCAGTTGGTGTTGGGATCCCTGGTTCTCGTTCTCGCTCTCTCGTTCGCTCTCTCTCTCTCTCTCGCTCTCTCTCTCTCTCGCTCTCTTTCTCTCTCTCTCTGCCTCTCTCTTTCTTTCTCTCTCTCCCTCTCTCGCTCTCTCTTTCTCTCTCTTCTTCCCTCCCCCGCAGGCACCCACCACAATCCTTGTGATGTCAGGTGTGCGATGTCAGGGGTGCAGAAACCGTGTGCTCTCATGGGGATGTTGCGGATTTCCCGGGTGCGAAGTGAGGAAACCATGTGTTGTAATTTGGATGTCTGGGAGTTGGTGGTTGGTCTTCCCTCGAGCGAAAATCTAATCCAGGAGCTTCCCCATGAGAACATATCCCCAGAATCCGAAGAATCGTCCCCACTCAAAAAACACTGAAAACAGATGGCTTCTTTATGTCGCAGCCCAGTCCTCCCAACCACCCCAATGAAAACGAATGGCTTGCGTGTCAGGGGTGCGGTCGGGATTGCTGGGATGCGAAGTGAGGAAATTATGTGTGGGCAGTTGGACTTTTGGTTTTGGGTGAGTTTCTTCCCTCCAGCGGAAATCCACTCCAGGAGGCCCCCCAGGAGCTCAGACCCCCAGGATCCCAACAATCCCAAACAACAAACAATCAACTGCCACCACACGCTTGTCTCACTTCTGGCCGCAGGAATCCAGAATAACCCAAGTGACAACGCAGGGTTTGCGATGTCAGGGGTGCGGAAGCCTGCGTTCTCATGTGGACATTGTCGGTTTCTGGGATGAGGAGTGGGGAACACATGTGGTGTCATGGGGGTGTTTGGTATGGTTGGGGTTCTGGGGATCTGAGCTCCTGGGAGGGCTCCTGGGTCGGATTTCCGCTGGAGTGCGGAAAACAAAAACCTCAGAATCAAAACACATGGTTTCCCCAACTCCCACCCCAGAAATCCCAACCACCCAAGTGCAACCACATGGTTTCTGCACCCCTGGCATCGCAAGCATGGTGGTTTCACAGGGGTTGTCTTGGGTGCCTGCGAGAGAGAGAGAGAGAGAGAGAGAAGTAAGGATGGAACAAGAGAGAGAGAGAGAGAGAGTGAGAGCTGTAGAAGAAGAGATATAGAGACAGGGGGAGAGAGAGCGAACGAGAGAAAGAGAGAGAGAGGGAGAGACGAGGAGGAGGAGGAGGAGGAGGATGAGGAGAGACACAACAACAGAGCGAGAGAGAGAGATAGCGAACTATTGATACGCAAATGAAACAGTAGGGACGACGTACGAGAGAGAGCTACTGATATCTGTATACACTATATGTAGGGAGAGGGCATCCATGTAGTTATCGATATGTATGTACAAATGTGTACATGTGTGTACACCTATACACATACGTACATGCGCAGCGTACACCTGTACACCTGCAATCTCATTCGTAGCTCGATTGGCCTTCGGCCCATCCCGCCACCGTGAATGGGTTGTGGGTCTGCGGCCTCGTTGATGTTCGTTGGGATCCCGTGGAGGCATCTTAGGGGCCTCCTGGATGCAGTGTTGAGGCATCTGGGGGGCTGTTGTCGGGCCTCTGTCGGCCCTCTTGGGGGCCTCGTGGGTCCTCTGCGGACCTCTTGTGCTCCTCATGGGGCCTCATGTGCGCCTCTTGAGGCGGAAGGCTCGACGTTTCGGTTCGGGTTCCCCTCTTGGGGCCGTCTTGAGGCTCTCTGGGGCCGCCTTGGGGCCCTCTTTGGGGCGTCTTGGGCCGTCTTGGGCCTTTTGGGGCGTCGTGGAGCGTCGGAAGCTCGAAAAGTGGAGAGCCACGAAAAAATGAAGAGCCCAGAGAGCATCAATGATTTTGGCCTCTCGGCTTGGGCTCTCTTGGGGCGTCTCGGAAGCCTCTTGAGCCGCCTTGGGAACATCTTGGAGCGATCGTTGGGCGATTCGGGGCACTCTTGGACCGTCTGGGCAGCCTCTTTGGGCCCTCTTGGCCCGTCTTGAGGCACTATGTGCCCCCGAACCAGTCATGCGAGAGCATTTCCCAGTCATTTCGGGTCCGGGCTCTTTGAAACCCTGGGAATTGAAAATTGAGGCTCCAGGGGATCGAACATGCTACCTGAGGCCACTCCAACTCGTGCCTGAAGGACACGGTGGCGGATACGAATGGAGAAAAGAAGGGATGGAGGGAGGGAGGTAGGGAGGGAGTGAGAGAGCGAGGGAGACAGAGACAGAGACAGAGGAGAATAAGAGAAATCGAGAAAAAGAGAGAGAGAGAGAGAGGGACAAGGAGAAGGAACAAGAGAGAGAGAGAGATAGAGAGAGAGAGAGAGATCGAGAGAGAGAGAGACAAGAAGCAAGGGAGATCGAGGAGGAGAGGACTAGGAATGGGCACTGCGAGAGTGGCATGGGTACACATGTATATATATATATATATGTATACAGAGAGAGTGCCCAAAACGGTTGACAGGGAGAGGTAGTGAGTGGGACGGAGGAGGAGCGAGGAGCGCCTTGCCTGCGACGTGATCGAGGGCATCCACGCAGTGCATGAGAAGACCGACGACCGCCGCGGCTTGGAGGCCAGGCCGAGATATGTACGACGTGCGTCGTTGCTTATTGTGCATCCCCCTCCCCCCCCCTCATCCTCCTCTCTCCCGCTCCCCCTGCCATTGAGCCCTCTCTTTCCTTCCCCCCTCCACCACCGCCACCCTACACTCCTTACTCCATCCTCATCCTCCTCTATATCACACAAGCCCTTCTCCATGCCCCCTCACGCATTAGTCATCCTTCTGCCCCTCCTTTCTGTCGTCCACCTTCCCCTTATTCGAGTACCAACCTTTCCTCGTCCCTTCCTCATCCTCCCTCGTTCCTATCTTCATCCATCCATCCCTCCACCCTCATCCTCATCTCGCCTCCAAGCTCCCATCTCCTGCTGTCATCCTCTCTTGTCTCTTCCCTGATTACTCCCTCCTCGTGCTGTATGCCCGCCCTCTCCGTCTTCTCCCCCTCCCCCCTCCCCCCTGATGCCCTGCCATTCCTTACTTCCTCCCCCACTTCCTCGTCCATTGCCCATATTCGTGATATATTTCTTCTCCCCCACCGCTCCCCATCCTCATATGTTTCTCCATCATCATACCCCTTCCCCTCCCATCCTCTCCCTTTCCTTCTCCCACTATCCTCTCCCTTTCCTCCTCTGTTACCATCGTTCGCTGCCTCCTCCTCCTCCTCCTCCGCCTCCTCCTCTTCCGCCTCCTCCTCCTACTCCACCTGCCCTCTCATTCCCCCCGCCTCCACCTCGGTCTCTGCTCCTCTTCTTCCCTCCCCCTCCGCCACGGCTTCTTCATCCTCTTCTTCTTCTTTTTCTTCTTCTTCTTCTTCTTCTTCTTCTTCCGCCGTCCCCCCTCCCGCCTCGTCTCCCTCCTCCTCCCGCCTCATCCCCCTCCTCCTCCTCCTCGCCCTCCGCCGTCTCGTCCTCCCCTCCGAAGCTGGTCTGCCTCCAGCCAGCGCTCTTGCCGCTGGCCCGAGACGGCAGCGGGACGGACCGCCCGCCTGCCCACAGGGGCCCGGCGCGGCCCCTCGGCGCCGGGTGGCGGCGGGAGCGCGCCGCCGCCTCCGCGGGCCCGCCCCGTGAGGAGGCTCCCCCCGGGGAGCTCCGCGCGGCCACACGGCGAGCGCGAGAGATAACCCCTGCGGGCGGCCGCCGCCCTCGGCGGCGACGATGAGGGCGAGCGGCCCAGGGGCGGGCAGTACACGTATTCGCCCGGGGGCGTTGTCGAATACATAGGTCATCGGCGCCCTTGAATGCACGTATTGCTCTCCCCTGGGCTATTCGCCCCTAGCGTCGCCTCTGACGCCTGGGCTGCGGTGCGGGCCCGTCAGGGGGTCTGCGGGGGTCTAGGCCTCCCAGAGGGGGTCCGAGCAGATGGGGTCGGAGGACTGCGCCGCACCGCCGAGGAGTCGCCGGCGAGGCTCGCTGTGGAGCTCGCTCTTCTCCACAGCGGCGACGCCGATACATCGCCGATGCGTCGGCGGCGATGCGGCCCGACAGCCTGCCCGGGGTGCCGGGGCCAGCATGGCGGCGCGTAGGGCTCGATCGGCTCAACCGCGCACAGGACCCAGCTCTTGGCTTTCGCCTCCTGGGACTTCAGCCTCACAAGCTGATGCCCACTTTGTGCCCACAGGAGGACCCCGTCTGCTTGAACCCCATCTGGGGGGCCTGGGGCGGGGGGAGGGCGCTCTGCGGAGACCGTCGCCCGCACCCTGAGCTCCTCTCCCCTGGGGTGGGCGGCTGTAGCCGACCCTGCGGCGCCGCCCTGTGCGCCTCTTGGGACGGAAGGCTCGGAGTTTCGGTTCGGCGTCCCCTCTTGGGCCCCCCTTGGGGCCGTGGGGCGGCGGCTGCGCAGGAGCCGTGGGGCGTGCACGTGGGCCACCCCTCCGTGCCGAGGCAGGGGGTCGCGCGGGACGGGGGCACTGCCGTGAGGCACGCGGGGGCGTGCCCCTGCAAGCGCGGGTGGTCGCGAGGGGCTCGCGCACTCCGACTCGGGCGCGGAGGCGGGACAGGCGGCTCGGGCAGGCCCACACAGCTGGCCCTGCGGCCTGCGGCGCCACCCCTGCCGCTCCGCGCCCCGAGGCGCCCGCGGCCGAGGCGCACCTGACCGCGCCCCAGCTCTGGATGCACACAGCCGCCGCGCGGCTGAGGCGCGTGTCTCGGAACGAGGAGCGCGGGAGGGCGCTGCCGCGGCGACGACCGCGGCCGACCGTTCCGAGCACGGCTTGGTGTCTCGATGCAGGGCGCTCGGCTAACGGCCCTGGGCGGCGGCGGCCCGGGCGGCCCCCGCCTCTGGGGGCCTCCCCAGAGCGTGGTGGCGTCGCTGCGGGGAGCTGGGGCCAGAAGGGTGGCCGCTCAGCGACGAACGAAAAGCACCCATACCCGCAGGGGGCATGGAGGGATGAGGACTGGCTCTGAGTATGGGTGCGGGTTGTCGGACCCCAGGGAGGCTCCCTTTCGAGCGGAGGCTCCCACCCGACAGCACGCACCCATTGACCCCTCCGTCCCCCGTGTGGGTATGTGTGTGGTGTTGTTTTGTGTTGCGTTGCGTTGCGTTGCGTTGCGTTGTGGTGTGGTGTGGTGTGGTGTGGTGTGGTGTGGTGTGGTTGGGTGGGGTGGGGTGGGGTGGGGTGGGGTGGGGTGGGGTGGGGTGTGGTGTGGTGTGGTGTTGTGTTGTGTTGTGTTGTGTTGTGTTGTGTTGTGTTGTGTTGTGTTGTGTTGTGTGTGTTTGTGTTTGTGTTTGTGTTTGTGTTTGTGTTTGTGTTTGTGTGTGTTGTTCGCTCGTCACTCAACGTGATGATCCTGGCCTGCGTGATGCAGTGCGTGCAGAGCCCACAGCAGCTGGGGTGCGCCAGCGGGTGTAGACCAGGGAGCAGCTCGAAGCGCTGGTGCGGATCGAGGAGCCCATCGTCCCAGCGCTGATGCCTCGAGCTGGCAGAAGTGCCAACAAGGTTGTGGACCACGGTTTGTTCGAGGTGGGTTGCGGCAAGTGGTCGAGGAACGATTCCCCTCGGGCGCGTGGAGAAGGACACCGTGAGCGTGAGAAGGCGCGGTGCGCATCTGTTTGCGATGGACCATCTTGCCACGCAGTTTGGGGCGACTTGCGTGCCCGACTGTCCCTTGTCTCCCAGTACGTATGCCCAAACGGATGTACGCGTGGGCAGCAGTAGAGACGCCGTGGCTACCACGCTGGCGTCGACGACCTCGGCGCTGAGTTCGACGAGCGCCTTTTTGCACAGATATGCCGTCTGCATCAGCGACGACGAGCGATGCAAGCTCGTGAACCTCTGCTGGCTTGTAGAGCTCGCCTGGGCGGACTCAGGCCTTGAATCAGTTGACATGGGTGCGCTCAGCGCTCGCCCCTTCCTGTCCTCCTCGCTAGTATCCTCCCCCCCCCCGCTTGCTGCCACGCGCACGCTGAGGGCTCGGCTCGCAGCAGCCTGCCTTACCAGATGACGGCGAATTGCTGGAGCGGTGCGTGCGTGTGAAGTAAGGCGCAGTGAGGGTACAGGCGACATGTGAGATCTGGCTGTTCCCAAAACTCACACGGCGTCGTTCTCGGAGACCCATCGGCGGAGCACACAATTCCTCCTCCCCCCTCCCCCCTCCTTCCCTCTTCCCCCCCGCACCCAGCCCCTGCCCCTCCCCTCTGCCCCTCTGGCCGCCTCCTGCCCATGCGGGGCCAGGGCGCGAGATTATTGACGTCGACGCCTCCGCCATTGTCGTCGTCCTCCTCGTCCTCGTCCTCCTCCTCCTCCTTCCTCCTCCTCCTCCTCTTCCTCCTCCTCCGCACATCCTCCTCCTTTTACCCCGCCTCCTCCTCCTCCTCCTCCTCATCCTCGTCCTTGTTCCTCCTCTTCGTCTTCCTCCTCCTCTTCGTTTTCCTCCTCGTCCTCCTCCTCCTCCTCCTCCTCAATGTCCTCCTCGTGTCCTCTTATCCAGTTCAGCTGCCAAAGGAAGCCCCGCCACCGTGCCCGGGTGGTGGGTAATAAGCCGAGCGGATGTTCGTTGGAATCTCGTGGGAGGCCTCTCGGGAGGGTATCGTGGAGGCAGTGTTGAGGCCTCTTGGGGGCCGTGTTGGGGCCTCTTAAGGGGGGCCTCTTGGGGGGCGTTTTGGGGCCTCTTGGGGGCCTCGCCTCTTGGGGCCTGTTGAGGGCCTCTTGGGAGCCTCTTGGGGCGGAAGGCTTGGAGTTTCGCTTCGTGTTCCCTCGGGACCCGTGTGGTGCCCTCTTGGGCGCCTCGTGGGCTTTCTTGGAGCACCCTTGGGCCGTCGTCAGGCCATCTGGGAGGCCTCTTGAGCCGTTTTAGCGTGATTTGGGGGACCTCTTGGGCCGTCTTGGAGCGTCGGAAAGCCGAAAAAGCGGGAACGCTCAAATCCTTCAAACACGCAAAGAGAGTCAACATGTTTTGCCTTTGGCCCTCTTGGGGGACCTCTTGGAGGCCTCTTGGGGCGCCTTGGAAGCTTCTTGCGCCATCTTGAGGCCATCTTGTGCGTCTTCGAGCGATCGTTCGGCGACTCGGGACCGTCTTGGACCGTCCTGGGGGGCCTCTTGGGCTGTCATGGAAGCCTCGGAGAGAGCCCCAGGGAGGCGCATGGCCGCCCAGGGACCCCCCAGGAACATGGCTTGTGCACGCGACAAGGTGCGGCCCCGAGAGGGGGAGGTCCCTGAGAAGACTACAGAAACCCTGCCAGGGAGCACTTGGCATTCTCGCACGCCTCAACGTGCCAGGGTGTACGGTGGCGGATGCTTGTTCCTTCTAGCCTTTCTCTTGCTCGTCGCTCCTCTTGCTCCTCCTCATCCTTTTCCGCCTCCTCCCGGCACCTTCTAATTTCCTTCTACCTTCTCTTCCCCTCTTCCCCCTCTCCGAGCACATCGGCCTGTTCCCCCTCCTCCTGCTTCTTCCTCCTCCTCCTCCTCCCTCATTCTCCTTCACATTACCGTCATTCTTCTTAAAAGTATTGCTTTCAATAACGATATTCATAATTACTCGCATTCGTATTCGTATGTTTTAATATTATCATTATTATGCTCATTCTTATTATTACTATTATTACTACTAGTATTACTAGTACTAGTATTATTATGGTTATGAGTATGATGATTATGCTTGTTCTTCCTCCCCTCCCTCCTCCTCCACATGACCCTCCTCCCACTACCCCCCGGTTCTGCCTTCCGTCCCGCCAAGGGGTACGTGCCCGGGATAGTGGACGTCCTGGCGGCTTTGCGGCGGATCTCGGGCGATCAGGCGGGGGCGGCCGGAAATCGCCGTGCCCCCCCACCCCCCTCATCAGCAGCATCATCAGCATCAGCATCATCACCATCATCACCATCGTCGTCAGCATCATTATCAGCAGCACCATCTTGATCACCACCATCATCCTCAAGATCATCATCATCATCACCATGGCCACCACTACCATCACCATCACCACCAACACCATCCTCATCACCATCCTCATCCTCAGCATCGTCATTATCATCCTCCTCATCGTCCTCCTCGTACGTTCAGCGGTCAGATCTGAGGCGCATCGGCGGAGAACTTGGTGTGTCTCCGCAACTCACTCAAAATCCTCCTCCTGCTCCTCCTCCTCCTCTTCTTCCTCTCCTCCTCCGCCTCCGCTTCCGCCTAGCCGTTCCGGCACAGGGTTGTTGAGTGCACTGTGCTTGCGGTCCCCGATACTTCAGAGCGGCTGGGGGATCGCGAGCGGCTTACTACGCAAAGGAGTGAGGCCACGACGGCCTCCACACGGCGTTTTCTCTGGGCCCGACCATGGCGCCCGTTCGTCCCAAGGGTGTTGATCGGAGTTGGTTCTGTCGTTTTTTGCATTCATCGGACAGGGGAACGATTCCTCAATAAACATGATAGAGATGTCTGCTGCAAGCCCCGGCGCTCCAAAGGTGCATGCTTCCGTTCTTACAAGGAGCTCGACAGTCCAAACACTCGAGCTCAGCAACGGCCGCCCTGGACCACCGCGACGCATGACGCGCTGCAGACGGCTCAGGCTACTATCGCTCAGCTGGAGGCAAAACTCAAGGCTAAAGAACAGGACGATCTTATTGCCAAGTCAGCCAACGCTCTCGCCATGGACGTGGACGGTGGAGCTGTACCTCGTGTTGCACCCGCTGGGGGTGATGCTGCCTTCCACGAAGGCAAAGCACGTGCGAGAGTGGCGGAGCTGGACAAGCAGCTCAACATGTCCACGAAGTGCGAGGGCGAGGCATGGGCGATTTTGCGTGCTTCGTTGGCTGCGGAGCGTGACATGCTCCAGGCAGACATCAACCAGCGCAAGCCTGCAGCGGCGAGAATGCTCAATCTTACACGCAAGATGGCAGCCATTGAGCTGCAGATCACGAAGCAGACGAAGCTGGTTGAGGATAAAAAGCTGGAGCCTGAGAAGTAACGTAATGAAGTGGAAGAGGCTGAGAAAGTTCTGGCGGACAAAAAGGTCAAGTTGGTCGAGGTGCGGGCCCAGGCATTGCAGGTTGCCAGATCCAGTGTCATGCCCTTGGAGGACCCAGCAGGCGATGGCCAGCACAAGATCACCGCCATTGGTTTGGACGCCTCGAAGCATGGGGAAGTACGCCGACGCCTGGAGTTGGAAATAAGGCGAAGTCTCTGGCTGATGGGATTGCGGCTGCTCTCCCACAGATTAGTGCGACTGCAAAGGTAACTACCTGCGGATGGTCGACCGAGCCTGCGCCGCCTCAACAGGAGCCGACCGACGCCGAGGCTTAGGAGCTCAGGTGGCAGGAGCACCAAGGTCGCAGGGCGAAAGAGGTGCAGGAGGTTACTTTGGAGCCGGTTAAGAAAATGCAAGATGCTGCTGGGGAAGTGGCCGATGAGCCTGCAGCGGGCCAAGCAGACACGAAGCTCCTCGACTTCAGGCAGCGTGCGCGCTCTGGTGCATGCCAGGTGTATCAGATGGGCGGTGGCAGCGCTGCTCTCTATGATGGCATTGTTGCCGATCATGATGTCTGGTATGGAATATGTTATGACGTCTACTACGGCCTCCAGGTATCTCCCTGGCCCAAAGGCGATGGCCTGCGGCAGCCAGGGGCCCCTCTTGTCCGGTCGGGTTTTTACCCGCGCGAGTTATGTCAAGTCTTCTTTGCCTGACATAACTCGCGCACGGCAGGAGTTAGGGTAGGGGGTGATGTATTTGTGCGGAGTGGAGAAGACGACGGCTGCGCTGGCCATCAGCATGAGACGTCTTCACGGAGCGCCCCTGGTCGTTCAGGAGGCGGTGGCAACCCGCGGAATGGATGTGATGGTGGCGCTCGGTAGCGGAAGGAACAAGTTGTGACCTTGAAAGCTGATGCGGCTGGACCGCTACTGCAGCATGTTGAATGTGCTCGAGACGCTGCGATTCTTGTCCAGGAGCACAAGTGCGATACTGATATGCTTCCACTGCTTCAGAGGCAACTACGAGATGCAGGATGCCATGGGGCCATCTCGGCAGCAAAAAGGACGGCATCTGATGGGCTTCGCGCGGGCGCGGCGGTCCTGGTTCCGACGTCCGTTATGGTCACGGTGCCGCCGTTGCCCCCGTGCCTCGTACCGTGGCCATCTCGCACAGTGGCAGCCAAATCACGTTGGGGATGCAGAGGAAGACGGGTGCTGGTTTCCTTGTATTTGCAGGATTCTGTTGGTCTTGACTCTTGCAGCCTGTCGTTGCTTTACGTGCTTGCGACGTACCTGGGCTGGTCGAATGCCGAAGCCAGACCATGGGTTGTCGGAGGAGATTGGAACGTTGAGTCGCGCATGATTCGAGGCAGGCATGGCCGGAGCAAATCAGAGCGATTCTCGCGGCACCTGTTGGAGCAACACGTCGCGTGTGTCTCGGGGCAGAGGGGTGCGCGAACGATTATTTCGTATTATCGGAGTCTCTGGTCTCTCGAGTTGGACTTCCACCGTTGCGCGCTAACAGCATCACGCAAACGCATTATCACGCGTCGTTCCTTTTCTCGGGCATCGGTGATCCGATGTGGCTGCGCCTCCCCGTCGAGCCCAGGCAACTGCCGCGCGGGCCTCGCGCGGGTTGTTCACGGTGCCCAATGGATTGGGTACCGGTCTTGCAGGCCATCGACGGAGGCATGGCCGGGTGTCTCTGCAGCGCTCGCGGAGCACGACGCCGGCGGCAGTTGGGCGTGAGCCGTGCGATCGATACGACAGGCCCAGGCTGTCTCTGCGTCGCTCCAGCTGGCCGATGACATGGGCGACGCCGCGGAGGCGCAGGCCGACGTTGTCGGGGGCCCCCCCCGCGGGCCCCCCCCTCGGCGACAGGCCTGTGCCCGCCGAAGCGATCGTCGGGGCGCAGGGGCGCCAGGTTTAGTAGAAGCCATGGGCCATGGTGTGTCTGCGTGCGCGCTATGATGCGGTTCGCACCGGGTCTCGCAGGGCAAAGTGGCCATTGCAGACTGCGCGGGCAACGTCTTGGATCCTCTCAGAACACGGGGGCCCGCTGCAAGCAGACCCACGCTGTAGCGCCATTTCGGGCTGGGAAGCACCTTATAAAGGGTGCCCCCCCAAGTCGCGACTGAGTCTGTCAGGTGGGCCCGCGCTCCCGTCCTGGAGGTTGCGCGACTCGGCCTAGCGCTGAGCCTCCGCCCCCTCCGCCTCCGCATCCGCGTCCGCCTCCTCGTCGCCCTTGTCAATCTCACCCTCCCCCTCCGGCCCCCCCTCTCCCAACTCCTCGCCGCGGCCATCTTGGCCCGGGCCGTTTTGGCTCGAGCCATTTTGGCTCAAGTAAAGCATTTCCCAAGGCAGCTGGCCGTTCAGCTTTGTTCCTTCGCGCGACTCACAGGCCCGCCTCGGCTGCCCAGCCTGCGGGGCCTCTCCGCGCCAGCAGAGCGAAGTTCACCTTCGCGCAATTACTAATTCAATCAATTCAGTTGCATGTTTTTGGGTTGGCTCTTCTCTCGCTTGGCATCGGGCAGGCGGCGCGCGGTCTTGTTTTGCTCAACACTTCCGAATGGGTACATTTTACGCCTCAGCATCTTCCCGAAGCGATTCTAAAAGCAGAAGCCAAGCCAGTGGGCACCGACGCGAGCGACGCAGACGCCCTGAAAGACGCAGCGAGAGAGATCGGGGCCGCGACCGCGATCGACACCGCCGACTCGATAAGGGTCGACGCCACCATTTTTCTTCTTCCTCCGAAATATCACGCCAGCCGCGCAAAAGGGCATAGTGGACGCTCTGAAGGACCTCTCGGACGCGAAGCCTCTGGATCCCCATCGAGGATTTCACTCAGCTACTACCCAGGAAGCCCGGCAACGAGCCGCCCTTGAAGAATTGGATGCAGCACCGACTTCCCCCTCTCAAGAGCAAGCACAGTGGAAAGCCCATCAAGCTCAGCGAGAACGAGATTGGCGCGAAACTCAGCAGCGCTCTCCTATTGAAACAGCATCAACTGCCGCCGCGGCCAGCTCTGGACCAATGGCACCAGCTCCAGCACCGGCCCCAGCAGAAGGAAGCACAGCCACGCCTACAGAAGCACCTTGGCCACAGTCAAATCTCGCCCCAGATATCCAGCACGGGCTCAAGCTGATCATGGCATCGCAGCTCGCCGCCATCAATACAGCCGTCGGCAACGCCGTCCCAGCCTCGCAGACTCAATTTCTCGCTGCGCTACAGCGACATGCAGCAGTCATGGGAATCAAGACAGCACAAGCAAGGCAAGAAGCCCAGCACCAAGAGATCTGGAGTGCAATCCAGCGTATCAACGAGCAGGTCAGCCTCGGCGAAGCAGAGGCACCCATATGGACATGGCCAAACTATCGGACTGGGATAGCGAGCCAGATCCCACCATTTTCGTTCTCTCCTGCGCGCAGCCCGTCGCCACCGCCGCCGTTCGCATCGCCATCGCCGAGTGGCTCGAAGCAGCAGAATTGGCTCCGCAGCAGTTTCAGGTTCATTGGGAAGGACCGAATCGGCGCTTCATCTTCCATCTCCGTGGAGGTCGCTCAGTCTCCATCACCAAATCAGTGGCCCTTGCTCGGGCAGTTCAGATACCAGACCGTGGAGGCTACAGACAGTTCACAGTTCAGACAGCAACCAACAGCGTCATCAACAATGGCCAGTACGTTCCGCTTCACGTCGACCCAGACAAGAACATCAAGCGCATCAGAATGGAAACTCAAACTGAAAAGCTGCTCGCCCTCTGTCAGACTCACTTCCCCACGCAGAACTGGCGCGCTCGTCGTGATCAAGGGCGTGTATTCTGCAGCGCCATCCACACCGCCAAA